GGATGCACAAGTTACATTATTCTTCTTGTGGCCATATTAAAGGTGGCGTCTTCAGTTGTCTGGCTATAAATGCATCTAAATGTATATTAATCAAGCTTTCTTAAACATGCGATAATGAACTTGCGTCTCGAGTAAAGTTTATGCTTGTCTTTTTTCATTGTATTTTTTAAGTAAATAATGTATTGTTCTAAATAAAGTGTCTAAATCATGTTTATGAATAATGAAAGCAAGTTTTATTTTTGAAGAAGCATATGAAACTAAACCAGCAGGTAAACAAGTTTCCCTGGACGCCGACAACACCGTGAGCAGCACTCACAAAGCTTCAATGGCAGTAAATTTCCACTGTCAGTTGAGTGGCTCACGCGGCTGCACATGACTGGAACTTTCCATGTGTGTACAGCTTTAAAGGCGGCGTCACACTAGCACTGTTTGCGTCAACTATCCCAATTTCTGTTGTTTTGTCCACAAGTTATTATCTTTCCTAGAGCGGATCGCTCACACAAAATGTTTGCTTACGGTTGATGAACTTGGAATGACGAGCGGGTTCTATATGCATGTGTGACAGGGAGCGCTCAGAAAAATGGCAATCTTTACGAAAATTGATGCAAGAGTACGCAAAACGTGCTCGTGAGTAGTGACGACGCCTTATCCAGTGTCCTAAGTCAATTGATTGGCTCCACGAGACTTAACACTGACTAGAAATTTCCATGTGTAACTTTCCAGGTTATCACGCTCTCTTTTGTTGAACGCAATATTTTCATATGATTTGTGTGTGTGTGTGTGTGTGTGTATGATTTAGGAATATTTCTGGGGATTTGGTATATTTATCAATAAAGTTCAACAAACAAAACATTAATTATAATTGCATTACCCATTTTAATAAACGTGGGTGTTTACACATGTTAGCTTCTGTAGCCATGGCTAATATGTGACTTCACTCAGTAACTCAATGGAACTTGAATTTAATGACCGCATTAACGCCGACTCTTAATCTGAATCAGCACATTAAGTTTAAAAATGAAGATAAGGTAGATGATGATGCCATGCAAACAACTAGCGAACGTAAGATAGTCACAGCAACTGACTATTGATCACATGGGGCCCAGTCCTAATAGGTCCCAACTTAACCTCTAAGTTTGGGGTCTATTGTGATTGAATCAACGAGTTACTTGAGTCTGTTAGAAGATGAAAGATAAACCACTCTATCTTGTGTAGTTTGTCTTTCTCTGCCCTCGCCCCTTTACATCGGCCGGTAACGTTAATCATCACTGAACAAACAAATGTTATGATAGGTTGCTGCACGCCTGCCAAGGCTTCACTCTGAGCGATCATTTCTAGAACCATTCTTACATCACCTGCCTCCTCGCTCCCCTCACTTAACCAGCCGTGACGTCACCATACACACCTAATATAATCCTCATTCATTAATTCAGATAATCTAACACAAACACCTAATTATAATCCTCATTTACTAATTCATTCACAAGACAAGAATTAAGTAGAATATCAGTTCTAAATTATGATCAAGACAATTACTGTATATATTACAGGTAAAGTCATTCGTCTGTGAATATATATATGTATTATACACACTCAGTGGAGAAGTCCAGGGCGACCTCGGATACAATGTTATGTCCACATAGGCAGGGAGGGATCAAGTGGCAATTGCTGTCTTGGCAGGCTCCTCCCGGTAACTCTTCACGCACGCACTTGCATACTCCATTGCATTATACGCACGAATAAACTTTTTATTTTATTCGAAACCTTACAATTAAATTTGAAGTTATATTTTAAGCTCTAATATAATCCTTTATACACAAAAATATAGTCAAACTTAGATGCAATTTATTTAATAGAACATGGCCGGGATTACCATAAAATTCACGGAATCAAGATAAATTGAGAAAATTTCGGTGGCTCCACAAGGTCTTCTGTATCATAGAATTGACCTCACCCCTCTACGCCTTCCCTCTTGCCAAGGTCACGGTTATTACACCTTCGCACTATGAACATGACTCGCACGGCAGTTTTTAGTTTAGTTTAACAAATTTATTGACAAAGCTTGTAGTACAGTTTGCCTGTTCTGAAAAATTCAGTCAGGTCTTGACACTGAGGGTGGTATCACTTCTCACTGCCACGCAGGACAGAGGTTCATACACAAAGAAATACATCATATTCATTAACAGCTATATATATAGAGGTCAGATTCATGTGGGTAATGTCACTGTTCACTGCCATGCAGGACAGAGGTTCGGACACAAAGAAATGCATCATATTCATTGACAGTATATATAGGTCAGATTCATGTGGATAATGTCACTGTTCATTGCCATGCAGGACAGAGGTTCGTACACAAAGAAATACATCATATTCATTACCAGTATATATAGGTCAGTAGTTCATATACATTGGACGTCATATTCTACTTGAAGACTAATCAGTGTGGACTAGCAAATTTGGGATAAACAGCAAGAATGTCCTCAAGCACCCCCGATTCAATGTAGTAATTACAAAGTTCAAGATACAATAAGCCAGGTGGCCTGAAGTCTTTGACAGTGTCACATTCAATAATATAGTGTTCAAGTGTATGCTTCAAAGGTTTATCACAAAGTTTACATGCTGAGTGTTCCGGTATGGGTACAGCGTTACTAACCTGCCAGATGTGTCTGTATCCTAGCCTAATTCTGGCCACGACTACATCACATTGTCTGGTTTTGTCCTTATGCTGGCCATACCGGTGCCTCTTGTCACAAAATTTGTCATATTGACTGGTTGAATTAATACAAGAAATGTTCATCATACGAAAACATTTCAGTCTGAATCCGGAACTGAACCTCACGCGTCCCTCATATTTGGTGAGTTGCACAACATATTTTTGAGTAGTGTACAAAAAATACTGTACTAGTACCATACCCAGTTACCATTCACAGTACTGTAGCAGGAGCTGAGGAGGAACACAAGAAGCATCACTACACGACAAAGTTCTCTTTATGTACACTCGCACCAAAAAGTATCGGTGTAGGGTGAGATCGACGAGTTCCGAAACGATACCTGTACACTGTGATATGTCGGGAAGGTTGGTAAGTGTATCCTCATAACACCCCCCCCTCCACTAGGTGTTACCATATGGCTGACAATCATTGTTGTTTCCTCTTTTCGGATTGTTGCTTTGCGTCGACTGAATGATGAGCGAGGGTTCGGTCTCGGTGAACGTGGGTATAAAACAGAGGCAATATGAAGCAGTAGAGATCTACACATGCCAGACGACATGGAAACCTCAGAGGGAACACGAGGAGCTATCATTGCCCTTCATAACGAAGGGTTCGGCGTCACAGGTATTAGCCGGCGGGTTGGTGTCCACAGGAGCACCGCTGCAAGATGGATTCGGCGATACGGTACCTCGAAACTAGTGCTACAGACGACAGGTCTCGGAGCGGCCGTTCACTCTGCACCACCCCTCAGGACGACCAGGTTGAGTGGTTTATTTGGTAGCATAAATTAATGTGACAATATTCACAAGTATCACAAATAATTTTGTTAACAGGGAGCTCCTCATATTTCATACTGTCTATTTATTACTTCCCGACCTTATTTATAACGGTTTGTTTCACTTGACCAGGCCATAGTAGCTGCTTGTGATGCAACTCAGCAGGATTACAGGGCTGCCAACTGGAACAACTCGCCTTTCCCAGTACCTATCGTCACTGGTCTCAAATTGTTCACACTACAGTATGCACCGATACTTTTTGTTGCGAGTGTACAATTACAGCTGTTGACGTCTGATAGGAGAATTTCTTGGACCTAATGAAAAAACTAAAACATTTAGTACTACTGCATAAATTTAATGAGTTTATATTTCTTGGTGGGAAGGAACTACATTTAATTTGCTTTAGTCCATAAAATAAGGATGGCCTTCCCATTTCAGTGTACTTGTGGGGACTGCGCTTGTTGCAGTCAGTACCACCTCTGTTTTTCTTGCGTTATTTTTCACTTATTCTTAATGTTCCTGACAGTCCAAACAAGTCCTATTATTCGTCAGTTTCGGTTGTGATCACCACACGTCTACAAAGTATCAGTTATCTCACACTTCCTTAAATTTGTGGCCACTTCCCTCAAGGGCCTGTACTTACAACCTGTTGGATATACGCATGAATAAAACAAAGATAGGGGGATGTTTTTTGTTTGGTTTCATCACATTTAATACAGCAGTTAGCGAAGAAACGCAGTATACAGTATGCTGCTCTTAATTTCAGTCACTTATTAGCCTCTTAGAGGAGAGCGCTGTATGAATTGAAAACCGGGGTGACGTAGGTTACATGACTAGAATATTTTCATCTTTGACTTGAACATGGCATCACGTGAGGACCAATTAAAGAGACTAGTATGGCTTTGAACGCTATCCTTGGTTTATTAAATATATTTTCCCGATTTGACCAATGCTACGAGATTTAGGATGAAATACTAGAGTAAATTTTTTCTTTCGGACAACATGGGAGTCTTAGGAATTTTATCTTTGCAATCAATATTTGAGACATTTTTAAAACACTTTCTTCTATGACATTTCCATCGCATATGACCTAACCGGGGGACTGGACCCCTCATCCGACATATACAAGTTGTTTATGAAGGAAACTTCATTGAAAATTGATTGCGAAGATAAAATTTCTAAGATTCCCGTGTTTTCCCGAAGTAAAATAATTCCGATATTATATCAAATGTTTACACAGCCAGCATCACGCCCCGGCTGGCACACTCACCCGGCACACAATACAGTACTCACGTTGTCATCCACGGTGCCTTTATAAATATTGCGCACGCTTACGCCAAGGTGCCGCCGTGCCATGGGCGGACACGGTTCAAGCTTTGCACATTCCCATGAATATTCTTCAATTATTATAGCGTAACATGTAACTGATATTATCTACTAATATCACAGTCTACGCTAATCCAGACAAGAAAGTCAGGATGGTGACAGACTAAAACAACTGACATTTACTCACATATATACCGGTGCCCATGACCAGAAGGAAGTAGACAGCGACACTGACGATATCCCAGGAGGAGAGCATTGTACCGCCGACCAGATCACTTCTGTCTGGGTCACCATCAGTGATGGTGACTTGGAGTTTTTGCGCAGCCATATTACCACGTTGAACACTTGAAGCGGACTGAAGGGAGCCGAAGTGTTCTCGCAGCAGTACCCGCGCCAAGAATTTGCTATGCTGGTGGTGTATGGCAACCGTGCCCTTCCAACATATCGCAAATTAAAACAAGCTATGCGGAATTACTAATGAGCTACATAACCCATTATATATTTAACTCGATACACTACATTTAAATCACATTATTATATCACGTGATTGAAATATACAAACACGGCGCTTTCTCTTCAACCGGAATAGATTGCCAGATATTTCCAGTGACTTCAGGTAAGTCTTCCTTCAGCTCCGTGGTAGTGGTCTGAACTTCCTGAAGATTTTCCTGTAGAGAGGAGACATTATAAGTGTACTGCATATACTGTACATAAGCAATGTCCTGCATATAATTATTCGATGTGTCTTATGTACCTTAATTCAATCACCCAAAATGCATATTACTCAATAACTCTTTACTTACTTCTCTGTAGATACTAAAATATATATATTTGGTTTAAACTTCTTGTATTGCCCCAGACACCCAAATGCCTCACTACTTCACATGTATTCATAGGACAGAAACATCACGCTTGTCTAAGCTTAACTGTGATAATGCCTGAACCACATGACCTTTGTCATGGTTTGACTTGTATAAAAATAAATAATCAGAATATGATACATATTGTAAAATAATGTAAGGGAGATTAATATTGGTATATTTATAATAAGGCGCTAAAATGCAGGAAATATAATAAATGCAGATAAAACACTGTCGATTTATCCTTTATGCAAACAATAAAACAACAGGCCAGCTTAAAATTTCATATAATGACAGTCAATATGTTTCAGGCTGGAGCTTTTGAGTGAGCAGTGACATCGTCTCCTGTAATTCGTGTCCTGCCATGTCTAGGAATACAGCTACAGGTATTTACATGCCAATTTTTTATTTTCCTTATAGGCGTTGTTGTAGTTCACTTATTGTCAAGGTGAGGTGGATCAAGGTACAGAGAATAGAACAACTATCGACGGGGAAAAACAGATGATAGATGACTACACAGAATAATACAAGGACTGTACTGTACGTCACCACTCTAGGTTGAGAGAGGCGGACTGTACTGAACGGTCACCCACTAAAGTCCTGTCGCCTCTCCTGCTGTTCCACGAAACCCGAGATTCCTAGACACTGATGCATTATTCTGTTCATAAATGCTTGGGATTCACAAGTAATCGAGGACCTGCCAATAGGTACCGTAAAGAAATGAATGTACTTGATTTTTTTAGTTTACTTTTAGATTTATAGCATATTAGCAAGAAATTTATCAAAGGTAGACTTTTCACATCTGGTGTGAACAGCTGCTTTAGCATCAAAGCCAAGATGGCCGCCATTGCTTTCAGTTAAATAAAGAAAATTACTTAAACGTTGAACTAAGTAATATTACAGCCGATTATCCTGTATCCATTCAAATAGAAAAATGTTGGACATCAACAGCCAACAAAACCAATCGCCAACAGCTTGCTCGCAAATTAGCTCCAGCAAAGTTCACTGGTGGTAACGGCAGGATCAAACCTCTTAATTCTTTGTCTCTAACTTATTAATTTGCGTTTAATATTAAAATATTATTCTAGCTTAATTTTTCTTGCTTCACTTCACCTTATGCTTTAAGTACTATGTCACTTGTATTTTCCAAGTTGACATACTGTAATATTCTTTGGTGCGTGTAAGTGGTGGAGAACTGAGGGAGAGTGTTGGGATGAAGGCGGAGTCACGCGTCATACTTGTGGTAAGTTAGGGTGGAAAGTCGGGCAGCGTGAGGAGGTAGGGAAAGAGAGGGGGTGACGAGCGGGGAGATATAGGAAGGGGAGAAAAAGTAGGCTATAGATAGTGTATAAAAGGTTAGAACATCGTATAAACTCCCTTTTCTGAACAATGGTGACACATCAACTCACAGCTGATTGATATTTGTATAACATAAGATGCCTAACTTATTTTAAGGGAGATTTATACACACGCTGAAGGAGACACATACTGGTAATATTAAACAGTAAACATGACACTTACTACATGAAAACCAACAAACACTCATGGTTGAGGTATAAATATCCTCGGGGCCTGCCCTTCCTATACGTTCACTGCGGAGCGTAGGGCCCAGACCTTTAAAGTCTCAACTGTTCTATGGCAGCGCCTCGGGATATACGTTGTAATGTTTGGCACCTCCTGGGCCGAGCTCATGTAAATAATGTTTAATAACTCGACAAATTAATCAATAATAATGTACGATAATTTTGGTGAAAACGATAATTTTGGGGTACCAGTACGATAATTGTCATCTGGAAAATTGGCGCGTCAATTGGTCAGTGCGTCATTGACACTGCTCTCAGTGCCAAGTTGACATGATACCTAAGTAGACGTGTCCCTTGGGTGCAGAGAAACGAAGGAAGAAAAAACACCAAGATGAAGATCTTACTCAGAGTAAGGGTAAGAAATTTCTTAAACTTGTCATATGTCACAATTTACAATATTGGTGAATAATTGCTGACCAAATTAATTGGACTTGAAGTTTACTTTCGTTCGACAGTGATGGCATAGCCTAATCAAACTAACTAGCCATATACAGTACATCAGTTACAAAAGAATTCTATCGACAGTTCCCATATACCGCGTTTGTTGTGGATCCCTTACCCGAAAAAATTGGATATTTGTTTTTTATGCCTCGCCACTTTAAAGGTACGTTGCATTTTGATTCAGCTGGTTGATGTATTTATTATCAAGCTCCACCCCGAACAAACTTGCTCGATTAGTTTTTTTTTTTTTTAGGGATTAGCCCACCAGAGCACAGGTCAATTACCCAATCAGGGCCTGGGGGCGAAAATATAGTAATGGGCGCTGTAAACGCTTTTTCGCTTCACCTTGCACTGGATAACAAGGGGGTGCCCAATAAACTAGCCCCATCTGGGGCAAATAAAAAAACTATATTATAATAATAATAATAATAATAATAATAATATGTTAAGATAAGGTGGTTAAGGTTAGGTTTAGGTAGGTTGGGTTAGGTTGGGTTGGTTAGGTTAAGATTGGCTGGTAAAGTATTATTTAAGTTTATGTAGGACGGTTTAGGTTAGTTTTAGGTAGATAAGGTTAAGGTTAGCTGGTAAAGTATTATATAGCTTAGGTTAACGTGGGTTGGTTGAGTTAGATTAAGGAAAGTATTACGTTTAGTTAGATTAGGTTGGGTTTGGGTTAGATTAGGTTGGTTGGTTGGTTAGAATAAGACAGTCCAAACACCAAAGTGCTTTTCATAGAGGGGGTGTTCATCTCGTAGAGGCTGTGGACAAACCCTGTGGTAACTCCATGACTACATTAATTCAAACTATATGTAAACAGGTGATCTACTGACCCACACATATGAATATTTTTTATCCCATTATATGTATATCTGTGACTTGGTTATAGAAGAAACCCCTGTTGTCATTTTGTTTCTGCTACTTGTATCTTTCCATCTCGTATAACTCTATAACTCACAGATATTTATAAGGAATACACTCACTTCTTTATATCACAGGTAAATTATGTGTTTTTCATATTATCTACGGTGTAATGGGCAGGTATATAAGGACACAGTGTTTTGCCAGTACACTAGTCTGAGAAGAAAAAACACCTGAGGAGCGTCATTCAGGGATTCCGGTTCATGTCATGTAGCTTTTAAGTGATTTCAAAGCCTTTCGTTATCTCTGCGGTGGGATTTAGGGAGTATTGATTATTTTATTCTATATTATTAAAGATTAATATACTGGAGTCTGTATTTAACATTAGCGAAGTTGGTGCTGTTTTGTTTTCTTTAATGTTTAGTTTCATGATAAAAAATGTAAAAATATGATCTTATGGCCAACTATGATAATACTTAGTTTCTTATATCTGTCTTAAATTCAGCATTTTTTTTTATTATTATTTACTTAAATATGGCATAGATTTTCCAGGCTACTAACGTCTATGATCACTTACCAAACTCTTCTCTGGGGGAGGGGGCGGCGACTTAGCACAAATCGGTGTTGCAATAATTATGATGAAAATTATCATGGTCGTCTTTGTTCTTTTGTTATTACATTTCATGGTAAGATAATTTTCAAACCAAGGAAGGCTTAGGGCAGTCTTTTCAACACAGGGGAGTTAAGTTATTAGGACAGAAATAACGTCTGGTGAGATCTTAAGTGAGGGTTTTAATAGGACATTTCTTGGGCTGTTCTTGGTTGAGTCGATTTACTGTTCGCCGCTGTTTATGTATAACAAACATACATTCAGAACCAGTGTGATTTTGTATGACGACTTTATTGAATAAATCTATAAATGTCTTAATTGTCGCGGTAAACGAGGGCGACAGGGCTTCCAGGTCATCCTAAGGGAGAACTGGTTGACATTTCTTGTTAATAGTCGTAAGTTTAGTAATCGCCAGAGGTTACCAACGCAGCATACAGGTGGACGCTCATGTTCAGTATTACACATTTCACATATTCTGTATCATTACTGGAATATGAAATACCTCGTCGAGAGCAATTAATTACAGTGATGCAGAGAGCACCCGTCATGAAGCTAAACATCAAAATGTTCATGTGCTTCTCCAGTTAATTGCCTAAAACGAAAACACGTCGACTGTTTTAGTATTTTCCTATTTAATTTTTGCCTTTAATGTCATTAAGCAATTACTTTAAATGCATTTTATTAGTTGTAGCCAATCAATTTTTTGTCTAAATATCTTCAATTTTGTCAGTGAAGGGATTTGAGAACGACACCTAACTTTCGGTTAAAATTTACACTTTATTATACATTCTAGTTATACATGCGCTTTTATTCACCTCAAAGGGAAATCCGTACACATGAGGTTAAAGTTGCTCATGCCGGTTAATGTGGGTATATGGAATGGCAGTGAGAACACCCAAAATATCAATCAGATCATACAGTCTGCAGACAGGCGGATAACGTGAGAAAAAGAATTTGGGTTAGTGTGATTAAAGACACCCGGCAGATGCAGTACGTGATTTAGATAGGGAGGGC